ATGATTTGTATGTATACAAAACATATTCAAGTTGAATTTTATCTCTCTATTCAATGAAATATACGCGATTAAGTGATTTTCGAAAATGGACCTTATATGAGAGCTATGACCAATTTTGGGCCAATACGGAAAAAATTTCATAGAGTGATTCATATTTAGACAAAACATATTTGTGTCGAATTTTATTAAGATAGCATTATTTGACAATAAAATATGTGCTTTTAAGTGATTTTCGGAAGTGGGCCTTATATGGGAGCTATGACCAATAATGGACCGACTGAGATCTACGTTTGTAGTATGATTTCTGTTTATAGTATATGTGTATGTACAAAATTTTGTGTTGATACCGATATATTTGAGGGAGTTATTAATGATAAACTAATTTCTGGGAATATATACCTTTGTATGGGGGCTATGGGAAATTTTGGATCAATTATTTTGATTTTCAACATAATTAATCCCTGGGTAAAAAAATAATGTGTGACAAAATTCATCGATTTATCTTTTGTAGTTTCTGAGAAAGCGACTTAAGAATTACGAAAAAACCCGTAATTTTTTCGAGGTAGTCTGAAATTTTTACTCATAACTTTTAACGTTGTGAACCGATTTTGCTGATTTTCAATACCAAACTGCTTAGGATAACAATGAATGTTTTTGGTGAATTTGGTTGATTTCTTTTGCTTAGTTTTAACGTGAGCGTGTTTTAGGCAGACAGACGGACATAGGTAAATCGACTCAGAATTCGATAAGGACTCGGAATATATATACTTTTTTGGGTCTCAGATAAATATTTCTTGGTGTTACACACGGAATGACAATCTTATATATACCCTCTATCACCATTGGTGGTGGTGGAGGGTATAAAAAGTTACATTAGATCTGGGATGTATTTTTATTTAAATACATAAAAAAATGAAGCAGCTGTTTCCATCTTACTTTGTAATTGTGTTATACCAATGGTTTCAACGCAAAAAATATAAATCATAACACTTTTATTCCTTTTTTATACCCACCATCAAAAAAGATGGGGGGTATATTGTTTTTGTCATTCCGTTTGTAACACATCGAAATATTCATATAAACACGTGAAAACACGACAGAGTCCAAATCGAAGTAGCTTGCGAGCTGAAATTTTGCACATAAACTTTTAGTTGATGCAGTTTGTTTGGTATTGAAAATGGCCAATATCGGTCAACGATTTCGTCTAGCCCCCATATAAGGTCGCCTTCAGAAAATGACTTTAATGCTTTGTATAATTTTATAAGGATCGGTCCATAATTGACCCTATCCCCCATATAAGGTCTTCTTCAGAAAATAACTTTAACGCTCACAACTGTCTAAAAGTAGCTCTATAGCGATGAAATTCGACATGAACTTATTTTATAGGAACTTTAATATCTTTGTTTAATTTTGTAAGGATCACTACAGACTAAAAAAATGCGAGTATAAGTTTAGTGCGAGCTCTACCAAATTCTATGAGAATCGGTCAGTAATTGACCCAACCCCCCATATATGGTGTCCTTCAGAAAATGTCTTTAACGCTTTTTTCTAAAATTAATAACAAAAGCATTGATTCTTAAATATCAAAGTATATTTATAAGGAAGCATTCCTTTTCGGCAATGATTTGATGGTGGGTATATAAGATTCGGCACACACGAATATAACGAATATATATATAAATAAAGTAATGAGTTAAAAAGCTAATAAAACCTCTTTTCACTACTTCTTCATTAGCATTTTAAGTCATTATTTTAACACGGTGATGTCATTGGAGGCAAGTACTTCTACGCTCGCTTACAAATAGGGAGTTAAAGAAGTACTTGCAGTTTCTCTTACAAAACAGTTGTAGGGTAAGTTGTTTTGTTTTTTAATAATAAAAAGAGCCAGCTAGAATACGAACCAGGGACTTCGGTTTGTTAGTCAAATGTTCTACTCACTGCACCACTGCTTAGCTATTTTATTGCCAAATTATTGTCAAATTATGGTTTTCACATACAAATCTAATTTTGTTTTCTTTTTTGTAAAACACAATTCTTAACACGCAATTAAATAAAATGTGCAATCAAAATGACAAAGCCGAAAATAAAGTACTTCTATATCAGATTATAAGAAAGTCATTACTAGTGTACTTCTAAGTAATGCAGACGGTAAGTAGTAGTCATTGAAAAGTAAGTGGTTATTGAAGTACAACCCATTAACGAGTTTTTGCTGGGACACTCTTACTTGTTTAAAAAACGGATGGAATTTCATTTGATTTTCCATACGTAAAGTCTTATAGTGTAAAGCCCATACTGTGTATCAAAAAATGTTTTGTAACTCAAGACAAATAAAAATGAAGTCTCTATACACTATATCGAACCCTTCCCTTCACTAAAAATTAATATTTGTCTGTGCAATAGACAATTTTAACATCCATATAAACATTTAAGGAAAAAATGGGCGTCTCCTATGCATTTAATACTAAAATTCGAATATCTTACTACTAAAGTCACCAAATTACATATATATGAGTAACTACTCCACAGTGGGGCAGAATGAAATTTTTTTTTCAAATAAATCTGGAATTTCTAAACGGATATATATAATTCCAAAAAAAATCTGCCCCACTGTGCACTCGTACGAATAAAATAAAATACTTTAAATATAACAAGTAAACTTATAAAAACGTCATTTCGCATTCAATTGCTGTGTGACACATTAGTAGCCTGGGGAATTGGCAAAACTTTTACATTTTTCATCCAATTTTTGTGTTTTATATCTTTCTGAAATGCTTATTCTGAGTACGATTCTATTGCAATAAAGTGCAAAATTAGTTTTTTAATCGCAAAATTTTATAAAAATCAGGAAATATCGATTTTTACCGTACAAACGCACCTCAAAATTTCAGAGCCGTTGCAGCACCAGATAACGTTATCCTATCAGCCTAATATGACATATCTTTACAACCTAATGAATAATTCTAGATGGGGACGGGGAAAATTCGCAACTTAATTTCTTGGAGAACTTAAATTTATATACGTTAGACACGTTTGAAGTCTTATTCAAAAATATATGTGTATGAACTAGCCATCAAGGTCAGATAACCGAAAGTATTAATATTTTAAATTTTGTATGCATACAAATCTTAGTCCTATGTAATTATTACGATTTCTATGCAACGCACAAATTATACATATTATTCTATTTTCGATTCTAAAATTGTTCACATGAAAGTAAAACGTGATTTTATGAAAAACCTGTTATTATGAACGCGATATTACCCACCGAAAAGCATACACATATTTAAATAAATATGTGAGAAAAATTCATAATTATGTTAAATTAGTCAAAATTATTTTGACCGACACTGTATGTATGTAAGTGTAGTTAATTGAACAAACATAAATAAACGTAAATTAGCTGTCTCCAAACTCAAAAGCTTAACAAGATCAAGGCTGGTGAATAGCATGTACATTAAACCAGCACGTCATTTCACAAGTGTACAATTTCCGTATATTTGTTACAAATTAATTGTTGACAATAAGTTTCTTTTACAACTTTATATTTTGAATGTTTCTAAAACTATGAACTAAATATTTAAATATTGTATATTTGTTCGTTTGATGCAGCTAGAAAAATACCGAAATTAATACAATCCTTTGTCAAAAGTTATCTTAATACGTTTATAAACATTTATTACAGATGTGAATAAAATGTGGTTATCAGTTAGTTATCACTTTGATAACGAACGTTATCATTTTGACAACATATCGTTGTCATTTTCACAACTCATTGTTATTATCAAAAAGTAATAATAAACACTATATATACTTTTGTTAATTATTTTTGTATTTATTTTTATGGGGAATTCAATACGAAGGCCAATTGTGCCACTTAGTTATATACATACTTATGTAGGTCCTATCAGCCTAACCTAACCTATGTATACATTCGTAAAAATTAAAATTATACAGAAGCAGGAAAAATCTTTTGAAAATTTCGCTTTCATTAACGCGATTTATTTTTATTCAATTAATGAATTGTTTAATACTGAAACACCATTAGGAAAATTGATAGATTGGACTTTTTGCCTTTAATATTCGAATGTTTTTGTATATTAGAGACTGTTGTTTACTGTTAACAAGATAATTGGATGAAATTTGGCACATATGTACGCTTTGTTGGCCCAAGGACGAAACCTATTGAAAATGGTTAAAATCGGCCCATTATTTCACCTAGACCCCATACAACAGAACCCCTCAAAAGGGCATTTGAGCTCATAATTATGTTAAACTAGCTATACCCCTAATACTTCTTAAATATCCTTATCACGATCACACGTAAACTCTAATGAAAAATTAAAATGAAATTCCAAAACAAAAAAGATAATAAAAGTCGTATGATTTATATTTTTTTCTGTTTACACGATTGGTATAAAACAATAACAAGGTAAGATGGAAACAGCTGTTTCACTTTATTTTACATAAAAATACATCCCTTGTTTTTTGAATAATTTCAAAAAATGAAGGGAGCCATACGACTGTCGAATTTTCCATCAGTATTTTCTCTCAATGTGTGATGGTTTCATTACATATAGCGATTGAATAACGCGATTCAAAATAACGCGAGATGTGTAATTATTACAATCAATTCAAGTTGAAAGGTATTTAAGGATCGACATAGCCGAATTTAACACTCGTTAATGTGTTTATTCTCAAATTCGAAATTTGTCCACTTTTCATTGTTTAAATTTTTCAAAATGGCGATGATTTGCCAAATCTGAGAACTTTGGCCGTAAGTATTTTATGGGCAGGTGTAATACATTTGTACGTAGGCAGACAGCAATTGTTATATGTATTATTAAACTACTTGCTACGTATGTACATACATGTGTATGTATGTAATACTTTCATAGGCAGCGCCAAAACAATCAAATCACAGCAACAACAAAACACAAGTATCAAGTCTAAAGAAACAAATCGCTGCTTCCGAACGATTTCAGTTTTGCCGGTAAGTTCAGTAGTCGAGATATTGTATAAATAAATAGTCAACAAATCAACAACGTTCGCAAATGTAATAACAAAAAAAAAAAATAAAAAATACTTGTGTTATTCATACTTACAAATATACACAAATCTAAATAGATAGTATCGTACTTAGTGTATTAATAATTTCTTACGTGCATAAAGATATAAATATAAAATATATAAATAAATATATCCGTTTAAATAAATATTGATTGTGTCTTTCAAATTATTACTTCCTAGTTACACTAAGAAATTTTCGAAAAGTTTAAAATGATGTGATTTGATGATTAAATTAAGTGTTAATTATAATAATTTAATCAATTAAATACATACATATAAATACAAATTGTACGTTTAAAAAAATATATTATTATTTTCCCAAAAAAAAAGTTCGTGTAAGTTTGTTTTAAGTATTGTTTATAAATTATAAGAAATAAAATAGTAAACAATAACATATAAATTCAAACTACTTATATACATATGTATGTATGTTTTTATTTGCATGTACTACTTGTGCAAGTATGATATCTATGGTTCAATCGAATACATCACTAGAATTAATTAATATTTATATATATATATAGCTCATTTACTACAAGACTGGCACAATTCAAAAGTCGTTCATATAGATTTATCAAATTTCAAATATGTTTGTCTATTATTTTCGCTGTGAGATCAAATAATATTGTAAACATAAAAACTAAAGCTCATGTCAAAATATAAAGAAGTTGGATTATGATCAGTGTTGCCACTTTGGTTATTATTAACCAAAATTGGTTATTTTTATTTTGCATGTGTACATGTGAATTATTTTTTCGTTTTGGTTATTTTTTGCAAACAATTGAACTGAATGCTGTTTGCTTTTATTCTAAAAATAAAACTAAAACAAGTAAGAAATTGTAGTCGGCCGAGGCCGACCATATAATACCCTACACCTGTTACAAAAATAAAATATGATTTAGTTTTCATAATAAAGCATTTAAGTTGAATTGTAACTTGCCTTGAATTATACTTAAGCCATTTATTGTTGAATAAAATTGTGGACATTTAAGCCGAATTTTGAAGGGGCTTTGAATAGGGGCTATGGTCAAATGAGACCCAATAATTATAAAATTCATGAGGGTTATTAAAGCTAGTATAGAACTTGGTTTTGTAGTTTTTTGTCGAGATACGAGTACATTAAACACAATTATGAACTTAAAATCCCTATTCGTCGGGTTCAGTTGTATGGGGGCTAGGTGAAATAATGGACCGATGTTAACCATTTTCAATAGGCTTTATCTCCGATACCATAGAAGATCATGTGCTAAATGTCATTGCATTATCTTCAATATTGCGACCTGTAGTTTGATTACAAGGTTTACAAGCCCTATTCAGGAGTTTAGTTGTATGGGGGCTAGGTGAAATAATGGACCGATCTTAACCATTTTCAATAGGTTTCGTCCCTGGGACAATAGAAGGTTTACATGGAGGGACAGACGGACGGACATAGCTAAATCGACTCAGAAAGTGATTCTAAGCCGATTGGTATACTTTAAGGTGGGTATAGAACCAATATTATTGTGCGTTGCAAACATCAGAACAAACCCAATATACCCTCCCCACTAAAGTGGTGTAGGGTATAAAAAACTTCTTTTATCTCTAGTTTTAAACCAACTATGTAAATATAAATATCGTCCCTGTTTTGAATTTTGATAATATGTGGATTTTTTTTAATATTCGAAATTTTTTTATTACTGCAATTTGTACATCTACTGGTTATAATTATGTGCACAAAGGTATTTTTCGATATCTTAATTGGTTTAGGATTTAGCAAAAGTACCTATGCGTTTTCCACATATTAAATGAGTTGATTTAAATCATAACAACACCGTAATATTATTTTATTTACACTGGCCAATCTAACACCGTGAATAATGGAATGAATCACTTTTTGATTCAAATTAATATTTCTATTGGAACTTTTTATGTAAAGAACTCGCGGTACTTAGATGAAAAAACGAAGTAGGCTGTATTTCGCATTTCGATTTTTATGGAATTTGATGGGAATAGTCTACGTACTTAGTAGATTATGTCCTCCAAATTAAATTAATAATTTAAAGTATAATTGCAACTTCTATACCTATTTGAAATTTTGCATAAACAGATACTGTGCTAATTTGTCGAAATTCTAAGATAAATGATTTAATAAGAATTAATAAAGTATTTTCTGCTAATTGATGCAAGAATAGTATCACAATATCTTTAAAGTATTAATCAACTGATATTTTTGAATAACACAGCTAAGGAGAATGAAATTGTATTATCTACAAAACTTGTAATAACATCTCAACTCATACGACGAATAATAATCCCGATATATGCAAAGATTTGATACTCATGACCTTTGACTTCTACTATCTCACCATGACTTTTAGTTTACATTTTCTAGATGATGTTGTAAACTAGTTTTTATTTTACCGTCTTAAATTCTAAATTTTTGTCAATTTGTCGGATAATTTGGATATATTACGTTTACAAATATTGCTGCAGTTATGAATGTAATGCTAACATCCGCTACATGGTATTATAATTTGGTTAAATATACCCCTTAAACCCAAATTTCGAACGAAATCTAAAAATCTGTACATAAAATGGGAAGAATTTTTATACCCTCCACCACCATCAGTGGTGATAGAGGGTATATATAACTTTGTCATTCCGTGTGTAACATCAAGAAATATTCATCTGAGACCCAACAAAGTATATATATTCTTGGACCTTATGAAATTCTGAGTCGATTTAGCTATGTCCGTCTGTCCGTCCGTCCGTCTGTCTGTCTGTCTGTCTGTATAAAACATTCTCACGTTAACACGAAGCAACAAAAATTAACGAAATTCACCCAAAATATTTATTATTCTCCTAGGCAGTTTGATATTGAAAATGAGCAAAATCGGTTCACACCGGGAAAAGTTATGAATCAAAATTTGGAACAACCTCGAAAAAAATAAGCATTTTTTACACATTCTGATGTAATTTTCTCGAAAACTATGAAAGATAATTCCATGAAAATCAGCATACATTCGTTTCTATACAAGAGCTTGACTCCTGCTGAAAATTTCCAGAATGTTATAGTCCAACTTCTTCTTTGTTAATAACTTCCAAAATAATGCCGATATCTTTACAAATTTAAATTCTATGCCAATAGAATTCATATAAAGAAACAATTTTCTGAATCGGTCCATAATTGGTCATAGCTCCCATATAAGGTTACCTTCAGAAAAACTTTTAAACGCACATAACTCATTATCAAATAACGATATTCATACAAACTTTGGCACAAATATTGCTTTAATCTACAGAAATCCTACTGTACATTTTTTCACGATCGGTCCACAATTGGTCATAGCTCCCATACAATGTCTCCTTCTCAAAATCACTTAAATACATATTTATCATTACTAAATAAAGGTATCCATACAAAATGTAGCTTTTATATACAGAAATGATACTGTAAAATTTGTTTACGATCGGTCCGTAATAGGTCGTAGCTCCAATATAAGGTCTCCTTTCGATAATCACTTAAACGCATAAAACTCTTTACGAAATAAAGATATCCATAGAAAATTGGCACAAATATTGCTTTTATCTACAGAAATCTTATTATAATTTTTTTTACGGTCGATCCATAATTGGTCAATGCTCCCATTTAAGGTCCTCTTTCGAGAATAACTTAAACGCATATTACTAATTACCAAATAATGATATCCATAAAAAATTTGGCACAAACATTTAGTTTTGAATTTTGTCATACATATAGTTTGGGAATCCACTGAGTTGAAAATCGAAATCAGTCCACAATTTCTTGTACCACCCATAAGGATTAAAAAATTGATTATTTTTAGCAAAAAAATTAAATAAATAACTGTCTTCATAATACCAGTTTAGCGACGAAATTTAACATAGTTACAAGTTCCACTTCAGAAAATGAATTTGTTATTTTAATGCCCAAATGTAAATATGAAACGAATAAAAATAATTTTGTTTACTTTTTTCTTAATTTGGTTATTTTTTGTTCGAATTTTGGTTAGAAAAAAAATTTTGTTGTGGCAACACTGATTATGATATTGTTTTCCTCTCTTCACAGACAAGTTCTGTGTAAATTCAGCACACTTGTGAGAACTTACTTATCTCACAATACATGAAAACTCTTTCGCGAAAATATCACGATAATAGGACTTGCAAGACATTTTATCACAAACATATAACAGAAATAGAAATATTTTTAACAAACGAAAAAAATATTTTTTAATTTTTTTTTCACAATTAATGGCCGACCATATAATACCCTACACCATGAGTATATTTTAAAAATTTTTATATTTCACAAGAAACTTTTATGTTGAATTTTACCTTAATTCCAAAGTATTTAAGCAATTTATTGATAAAAAACAAATTTTCTAAATGAGGCTTTATATAGGAGTATAGGTAAAACATGGGCCGATCCTCATTAAATTTGGGAAGAGGATGTATTTTTAAATAATAGTTAATTATGTTGAGTTTCATTGCGATACAAATGGTTACAAGTCAATTTTAGACGTTTAAGACATTTTTTGAAGGGGGGTTTGTATGGGGGCTAGGGTCAAATAAGGGCCCATCATTACGAAAATCTGCAGTGTCATTTATACTTATATAAAACTTATTTGTGCCAATTTTTAGAGAGATAATAGCATATTTGACGTAATTAGGGCATAAAAAGCCCAAATCGGGAGGTACGGTTGTATGGGGGCTATGTGAAATAATGGACCGATTTCAACCAATCAATAGGCTTCGTCCTTGTGCCAAAAAACATGCTTGGTCCAAATTTCATCAAATTATCTTGAAAATTGCGGCCTGTACCTTGCGCACAAGGTTTACATGGACAGCCAACCAGCCGGACAGACGGACGGACGGACGGACATGTCTTAATCGACTCAAAATGTGATTCTGAGTCGATCGGTATACTTAAAGGTGGGTGTAGGACCAATATTTTTGTGTGTTACAAACATCAGCACAAACGTATAATACCCTCCCCACTATAGTGTGTAGGGTATAAAAACAAAGTTGTAAATTTTGGTATTGAAAACTAATAAAATATTTAAAATAAACTTATTAAAAAAAAAGATTTAAAGTCTGAATAATATATTTATTAAATATAAGCTGATCGATCATATGTAGGCTAAAAATGTTGAAAAATCTGTGAAAGTGAATATTTAAATGTTATATATTTTTCCTAAAGTTTTCAAGTAAGATTTTATGCAACAATGTACTTATATTTGGAAAGAGTGGTGAAAGTGGTTGGAGATCCAATACTTTTACAAAAATTCTACCAATACATTCATAGATTTAGGTACCGAATGAGAACTCATTTAGGTAC